CTGCAATCAATTTATGCACATTTCACCAAGAAGACAAGAAATACTACAAGTTGTCTCAAAACTGCATATTATAATTATAATGCATGCATAAGAGCTGGTTAATACTGATAAATGGAGCTGTTAATGAAACACAGACAAATAGTCATACTGAACTTTTCCATTATAAAAGCAAAATAATACTGATGATATGTAGAACAATAACTTTAACTCCTGAAATCCAATCCTAACAATATGTATGTTCATAAAACATTTAGTTTTAGTTTTTCAATAAATGTTTATCCCCTTCGGCTCGCGACCTAAAGTGTGCTTTGAGTTTTGGCCCCCTGTGCCATTGAGTTTGACATCCCTGCTCTACACCAACAACTGCATCTTGAAGGACCCCTCTGTCAAGCTCCTCAAGTTTGCAGATGATACAACTGTCATTGGTCTCATCTGAGATGGTGACGAGTCAGCCTGCAGACGGGAGGGTGAGCAGCTGGAAGACACAAGGCTCATTGGTCTCATCCAAGATGGTGACAAGTCAGCCTATAAACATATGGTTAAGCAGCTGGTCCTGTGGTGTAGCCACAACAACCTGGAGCTGAACACGTTCAAAACAGTGGAGATGACAGTGGACTTCAGGAAGAGCCCCCCCACATCATACATGGCAGCACTGTATCAGCAGTAAAGTCCTACAAGTTCCTGGGCTCCACTATCTCCCAGGACCTGAAGTGGACGTCCAACATCAGGACCATCACCAAGAAGGCACAGCAGAGGATGTACTTCCTGCTCCAGCTCAGGAAGTTCGACCTGCCCCAGGAGCTGCTGATCCAGTTCTACAGAGGAATCATCCAGTCTGTTCTCTGCACCTCCATCACTGTCTGGTTTGGCTCAACAACCAAACAGGACAAGTACAGACTTCAGAGGACAGTCAGGACTGTAGAAAAGGTCATTGGTGTGAGCCTGTCCTCCATGGAGGACCTGTACACCTCACGGGTCAAAAGGAGGGTGGAGAGGATCACTGCAGACCCCTCACACCCCGGACACAATCTGTTTGAACTCCTCCCCTCTGGACGGTGTTACAGGTCACTGTGCACTAAGACAACCAGGCACAGGGACAGTTTCTTCCCCCAGGCTGTCGCTCTGATGAACACTTAACCCACGACAGTATGACTGGACAATAACCCTCAGTGCAATACCTGTGTGTGTGTGTGTGTGTGTGTGTGTGTATATATACCTTTTGTATATACTGTATCTATCTGGAAAACTGCATCTGAACTGTGTGTATATATACACACATATTTTATAAGCACTTTATTTTTATTTTCCTAATGCACAATCTTTTTTTCTTGTTCTCTGTCTTGTATTCACTTGTCTACTTGTTACCTTATAGAAGAACACATGTACCAGAGTCAAATTCCTCATATGTCCAACGCACCTGGCCAATAAAGTTGATTGTGATTCTGATTTGTCTAAATATTGTCTTTATTTTCTGAGTAAACACAATCTAACAGTCTTGGACATGGTTTGTTTCACATTTTGGTTACAAGACAGCTGACATTTTCTGAAGGGTACTCCTGTAGAACATAATGAACATAATTGACATGTGAACCACTGAGTTTACTGAGCGATGGATGTGACTGCGGTTATCATCACATTCATACTGTTACTATTAGAATGATCATCTGCTGGTCACATGGTTTTATGCACGAAATAAAGTACATTGAATGATGATGTTTCTGTAGTAGAATCTTTGCTTCTGTGGCTGGTTTCAGTAGGCTAGTAGATTGTCTGTAGGCTCTTGGTATAAATAATGCGTTTTCACCTTTGGGTAGAAATTGTGTGTCCGTGGGTGAAATTCAGTGTAATCTCAGTAGAAATGTAAATTCAGTGCAGTAGAGTATCTAAACATCCTTGGAAGTAGAGGTGCATACTTGGAGTAAAGCGTCAGTAGAGTCTTGGTGATGCAACGTACTCAGCACAGCGGAGAATCATTAGATTTCCCGATTGAATCCAACTACTCACTGTTTGTTTGAGACATTCATGGTCACAGCCAGACATCACAGCTCCCACACAAGAGACAGCTGCTTCCAGCTCCCCTCATGACAACACAGCAAAAAAAAAAAGCAATTTAAGTTCATAAACTGCTAAACTTCAAATGGTACAGACGATTTTAAGAACTATCAGAATGAAGACAATCATCAAAATCTAAAGACAAAAAAAAAATACAACTGTGGGAGGAAGCCAGAGCACCCGGAGAGAACCCACACAGGCAGAACATGCAGGCCCCACACAGAAAGGCCCCGGGTTGGCTGGGGCTCGAACCAAGAACATTCTTGCTGTGAGGCAACAGCACTAACCACTGCTTCACTGTGCTGCCCGTAATCAGAGACATTTAGTATTATAAATATTACGTCATTTTATTTTCATGTAGTTTGTAGTTTACGTTCCCATTTCTCCCACAGTTGCTGAAAGCATCACCATCCTCCCCTCCCTCTGTCCCAGCCCTGTCAGGGAGGGGTGTGTGAAGCTCCCATGAAGGTGGAGGTGTGAACCCAATTAAAGAGCCAGAAAGCTGAGGCATCAGAACAGGGTTTAAAGTCTTTCTGTAAGTTAGACATGAACAGACAGTCTTGAGGGATCAGGCAGAGAGCAGTACTTAGTTCAGTCTGTGGTCGAAATCTCCGGCAGGGCAGCAGGGAAGGCAAGGCAGAATCATAGGTCGATAGAACAGGCAAGGTGTCCATCTCAGGATAACAGTCAGGCAAGAGGGAGGAGGCTGGATCACAGGCTGGTAAAGCAGGCAGGGGTTCAGTATCAGGATAGCAGTCACTAGAAAATAATGCGGGAGAGTCTAGACAGGACATAGAACAATCTGGCATCTCACAACAGGGTGAGGAGCTGCTAAATCAACCTGATCAGTGTTTGTTTGTTGTGTCTTGTTGCTTTTCTTCTTTTGTCTCTCCTCCCCTTACCCACTCCCCCCAACCGGTCGAGGCAGAAGGCCACCCACCAAGAGCCAAGGTCTGTCAGAGGTTCCTTCCGATAAAGGGAGTTTTTCCTTCTCGCTGTCGCCAAGTGCCGCTCAGGGGGATTTGTTGGGTTTTCCCTCTGTAATAATATTGATAACAGTAAGGTCTAGACCTTAGTTTGTAAAGTGTCCTGAGATGACTTGTTGTGATTTGGCACTATACAAATAAATTTGATTTGATTTGATGTAATGTGTGAATAAACGGAGTTAGTCTCTCATGTCGCTGTGTCCAACATTCCTTTAATGTTTTCTTTTTTTCTCTACCTCCTCTCTTACCGCTGACCTCCCACGTCACCTCCTGTGGGCAGGCCAATACAGGATTGCCAACATGATCTACATCCCCCTTCTTAATACTGAATGTCTAACCTGTTTCACATGAACATAGAACTGAAATACATGTTTTAACAGCTACATCTAACTGTCCATGACTTTGTGTGCTATAACAGTGCACATAACTAGTGTACCAGCTGATCCACACAACAACACACTGTAGTAAGTTACAGAAGCAGCGAGGCTGCTCCGATGGGAATGAAATGAAGCCTAAATCTATGTAACGTAGTCCTTGTACAGGGAGTTGGGCTTTGACACTGTTCCTGAGCATGTGATGACCACAGCTGGTTCTTGCGCCTGTTCTGTTCGCTGCTGGTCAACATCGGACCGAGGTTCGGGCTGAAGTTCAGGCTGATGTTCATGGTCAGCGTTACTTGTGACTTCTGTTGAAGTGGGATGGGTGTATTGTTCAGGAGTATGGAGAAGGTGGCGTCTGTTTCTTACATATGTTGCCTTTCTAGCCTGTACCTGGTAGCTGTTTGGCTGTGGTGCTCTCCCTATTACTGTCGCCAACCTGTCACATCCCCTGTCTGTCTGTATTCTCACTGTCTGTCCTGCGTGCAGGGAGGGCAAAGGTCTGGCTGACCTGTCATAATCTCTCTTACCCCTCTGTCTGCTACATGTTAGGGCTGCTTGGATCTGTGTTTCCACCTTTGGCACGTACATGGCTTTGATCATGGGAATTAGGGTCTTGGTGCACCGGGAGAGGAGGTACTGGGCTGGTGAGGGCAGCCCATTTCTAGGTATGTTATGTACGTTGAGCAGTGCCGCATAAACATCTGTTTTGTCGTGTGCACATTTTTCCAGAAGATTTTTTGCGGAGCGTACAGCTCTCTCAGCTAAACCATTTGATTGAGGGTAGTGGGGGCTGCTGGTGACATGACAGAAGTCCCATGTACGGGCAAATTCTTGGAACTCCATGCTTGAGAAGTATGTTGCGTTGTCAGTCATTAGCTGCTGAGGGGCTCCATAGGTAGCAAAGTGGCGCTTGAGCCTGGCTATGATTGTTGCACTGGTTGTGTTTGGGAGCTGGTCTATTTCAAACCAGCCGGAGTATGAGTCAACAACCACCAGCCCCCCCCACTCAAAACGTCTGCCACTGTGAAGGTCCACGGCAGATCTGGTATGTCATGCAATCGAAGGGGCTCCGTTGTTTGATGCGGTTTGAGGGCATTGCAGTGAGCTCATCTTGAGACCTCAAGGTCAATGTCTTGATATATGCTGGGCCAGAACATAGTTTCCCTGGCTCTGCGCTTCATCGCTTCTAGGCCAGGGTGTCCTCGATGCAGTTGTTTGACATAATAGCGCTGTAGTGAATGAGGGATGATGAAACGCTGGCCACGTAGCAGCAAGCCATTATCAAGTGTGAGTTCATCTCTCATGGCATAAAATTTTCTGAGGTCATGTGGCAGTTTCTTCGATGAGTCGGGCCAGCCCGCGACAAGAACCTCCGATAAGCGCTTGCATAGGTGATCTGCCTGTGTTTCTTGTCTCAATTCCTCAATGCTCCTGGATGAAAGAACCTCCATTGTCATCATGTCGTAGTCTTCACTAGTATCACCAGTGTCAGTGGATGGCAGGTTTGATCATGAGAGTGTGTCTGCCAGGTATAGCTCCTTGCTCTTTTGTAAATGACGAGGTTGTAACGCTGCAGCTTGAGCATCATCCTCTGCAGGCATGCAGACGCTGTGTGTAATGGCTTTCTCAGGATAGTGATGAGGGGCTGATGGTCAGTTTCGATGGTCACCGGACGGCCATATATGTAGTCGTGGAATTTCTGACAAGCGAAGACGAGTGCCAACAGCTCCTTTTCTATTTGAGCATATCGAGATTCAGTCTCCATGAGTGCTTTTGAGGCAAACACCACTGGGTTGTCGTTCTAGAGGCAAACAGCACCGAGGCCATGCTGGGAGGCATCAGCAGATAGCACCACGGGCTGGTGCACATCAAAGTATTGGAGCACCGGAGGGGATGTGAGGAGCTGTTTAAGTCTGTCGAACGCTGCCACATGGTGCTCCTGCCAGCTCCATTCCAAAAGCTGACGCAGGGGTGCTGTAGTTTCACTGTAACTTGGGATGAATTTGGACAGATAATTTGTCATGCCCAGGAACCGCTGAACATCATGTTTGTCTGCTTGGGTTGGCATAGAACGGACTGCTTCTGTTTTCGTAGGGTCAGGTTTTATGCCTTGATCGGTCAACAGGTGACCCACGTATGACACCTCAGACACCCGGAAACGGCACTTGTCGGGGTTCAGGTTGAGGTTTACAGCACGTACCCTGTCCAATACCTGCTGGAGACGCAGATCATGCTCCTCTCTTGTGCTGCCCCAAACCAGGATGTTAGACAATTATCACACATGGCAGTCCTTCAAAGAGCTGTTCCATGCATCTCTGGAAAACTTCACTGCCTGTAGATATTCCATATGGCATGGGGAGGAAGGCATACCGGACCACCGGAGTCATGAAGGTGGTCAGTTTTGAAGACTCCTCAGTGAGTGGTATCTGCCAGAAGCTACATTTCGCGTCAAGGATGCTAAACACCTTAGCACATGGCATGTTGGCAATCACCTGTTCCACTGTTTTCAAGGGGTGGTGTGGTCTGAGGAGAGCCTTATTGAGGTGGATGGGGTCCATACAGAGTCTTACAGTGCCATCTTTTTTACGTGCAGCCACCATGGACGACACCCACTCAGTGGGCTCATAAACTGGCTTGATGACTCCTAGCTTGGTCATTCTGTGTAGTTTGTTGATCATTTTGTCTTTCATTGCCAGTGGCATCCGCCTGGGGGTGCACTGAGGGGCCCAGTCAGAGGGGTCCAGGCGCATGTAATACACTACAGGCGGTTTGCCTATACTGCTACAGTCAAAAGGGTCCTTGTAGTCTGTGACCTCAGGGGCCCCCTGTTGGATAGAGTGTACGTTTGGGCCAAGGTGTACGAGACCCAGCTTGACACTATCTCTGAGGCCCAGCAGGGGTTTTACATCACTGTCGACAAGATGAAACTGTAGTGTTCCACATGTGAAGGTTATATCAGCAACACCTAATGTCCTTATAATCTGGCCACCATAGGCCACCAGGTTTACTACATGGCTGTGGTACACAAGTGCACTGGGGTCGATGTGTTGGAGCATGTGTTTTGAGAGCACGTTCCATCGGGCCCCGGTGTCAATCTTCACCTTGAGTTGCTTTCCTGTGTCGGGGTTGGACAGGATGGTGAATACTTCTCCTCTGTCTGCTGGCAGCTCTACACTTTCACAGTAGAGGAGGTCTGCTGGTCCATTATTGGTCTGTGCATCAAGTTCACCTATGTGTCTGACCTCCTCTGCACAGGGTGTGGGGTGCTCTGCGTAATTGCTGTGGACCTTGTTCTGGACTCTTGTACATGCGTGCTCTGCTGGATCTGCAACATTTAGAGAAGTGGTTCCATTTTCCACATGCACTGCAGCGCTTGTTGAAGGCTGGACAGTTGCTGCGGACAGATGCATGCTGGCCAGCACAGTTAGAGCATGTAGAGTATTGCAGGATGCAAACTTCGCTTTCTGTCTTTATGTCTTTAGTGTCTGTTGTCTTTATTTCTTTGTTCCCTTTTTCAGCTTGCTCATGCAGTAAGCACATTTCAATAGCCAAGTTTAATGTCAGATGTTTTTCTTTCAGCAGCTGTGTGCGGATATTATCACTGTGAATGCCACATACCAGTCGATCACGGATCAGTTCATCATGCAATATCCCAAAGTCACATTTTTTTACAAGCATTTTGAACGTGGCCACGTACGACTGAACCGTGTCGTGTGGCTTCTGGTTCGTAGTGTTGAATGTGTCTGTCCATAATAACGTTTTTTACTGGCAGGCATGTTTCATCAAACTTCTTTAGTAGTACCTCTGGATCCTCTGGGTCTTCGTCTGTCCCGAAGGTGAACGTGTCATATTTGTCTTGGGTGTCCGAACCAGCGAGGTTGAGGAACGTGTAGGCTCGCACCTTTGTGGACACTGCCGAGAGAGCGGTGTTGCTGTAGATGCGCCATTCGCGCTTAAACTTCGTCCAGTTGTCCGCGATATTATCATCAAAAACCAGGGGGTCGACCTTACAGAGTCCTTGTGCCATCATTACTGTAGGCTGACTTCTGACACCATGTAAATGTGTGAAGAAACGGAGTTAGTCTCTCATGTTGCTGTGTCCAACATTCCTTTAATGTTTTCTTTTTTTCTCTACCTCTTCTCTTACTACTGAACTCCCACGTCACCTCCTGTGGGCGGGCCATTACAGGATTGCCAACATGATCTACACTTGATTTGATTTGAAATATTGTGGTGAGCAGGTGTGAGTGATTAAGGGGCAGGTGAAGCCAATATACATGATGAGATGAAGTTACCGGGTGTTAGGGTGAGCTGGGGACAGGAAGTGGTGTCAGAATAAAAGCAGGACCGGAAGCTGACGGGGCAGGATCATGACAAGCCCGTCACTTTGTGTTGCACTGTGCATGCTCCGTGCTCATGGAAGAAGCCAAGTTAAACTTGTGTTGACAGAGTGGGTCCTGTGCTTTAGTTCGGGTCCATCCGGGGCAGTTCGGGTCAGTTTTGCATCTGAATCTCCCACTGGTTCGGTCTGAATAACCGGGGAGATCAGCTGCTGTCCGGACATCTTCCGCAGGACGAGTTACAGCTGATTCAGCCTGTCGGCAGCGGGACGTACGGTGACGTCTACAAGGTACCCACACCGACGTCACAGTTAGCTTAGCAGCAGTTAGCTCGGTCCCACGAGACTGTGTCATGTATAAGCGGCTTTAAAATGTCAGTGGAGGTCATGTAAGGCGTGTGCATTGGACCCTGCACTGTTTGGGAGGAAATGATCAATAAGTGATTGATCAATGCATATCAATTACACTGGAAGAATTCACAACAGTGTTTGGGTCCTTACCAAAGGGCATAATCCAGTACTTTGAGAACTCTGTAACTGATGGTTCAGATTCTTTTGAACTGAAACATCGAAGAGAAATGACGAGATTTTATGCAGGTGTTGGAAAATATTCATGAAAGCCTCTTTATGAAGGATTAAACTGGCATAAAATGTGATCGGCTGGTGGTAAATGCTGTATTAATAACAAAGACAAATAGGTATCGTTTAAAATCTTACACTGGATGTACCCAGTCAAAGTTGTATTAGAAAGGTTTAAAACTGATATTTAAAATTCCTCTGATTTCTGTGGTCTAGTAAGAGAAATTCAATTCAATTTTATTTGTATAGCGCCAAATCACAACAAAATTCATCTCAGGACACTTTACAAAGTAAGGTCTAGACCTTACTGTTATCACTATTATTACATAAGGAAAACCCAACAAATCCCCCTTGAGCAGCACTTGGCGACAGTGGGGAGGAAAAACTCCCTTTAACGGAAGAAACCTCCGACAGACCCCGGCTCTTGGTGGGCGGCCTTCTGCCTCGACCGGTTGGGGTGAGTGGATAGAGGAGAGGCAAAAGAAGAAAAGCAACAAGACACAACAATCAAACACTGATCAGGTCAATGTGGCTGGGGACTGGGCATCAGAATCATAGAGCTCCAGGGCCAGGGCAACCTGTAGAAAGGTACAGGGAGAGAGAGAGGACACACTACGGGAGAGAGGAGACACAAAGTTACTAATGTGTAATGGTGGCATAGAAACATAGAGAGAGAGGAGAGAAGTTGAGTTCTGCATCATTGCAAACCGGGCCATTCGTTTTTCTTGCGACTGTGAGTTTGTAAGCCTGACACTGAATGTGCAAACCTGTGTTTTCAGACAGAAAATTAAGTGTACAAGCTTGTAAAATTAAGTTTGCAGATGCAAACCTAAATGTTCAAACTTACAAAACAGTATGTAGAGATGCCTTCGACACACAAATGCATCTTTCCTACATGTTTTCCCTTAATACACTGATGATGAGAACAGGTGTAATACGTTTTTGTGAATGGCCATGGTTTCACTCTCTTCACCCAACACCCCCAGCATCTCAGAGCAGAGAATACTCCTTATGTTTTCATGATTTTGAAAGCTGATTTTTTTAAATATTTGGCAATATTTTTAGTCATTCAAATTAGGCTGTATGGTTAATAACACATTTTCCTGTGGTGTGACAAACTCAGAACACATTTATTTATTACTTTACCACAACTTTAAGGCAACAATTTGTCACTGTGTTTAAGTTTTCATTCATTAATACTGACAAGCACCACATTTTGACTCTGGCGTGTTGAAGTTGGGCACGTGTTTTATGCCGGATGCCCTTCCTGACGCAACCCTGAATCAAACCCGGGTCACAGCAGCGAGAGCACTGACTCCTATTCACTCATTCACTACTCCCTATGTAATACACACTAGGTAGTTCACTCAACAGTTAAATTGAGATAGTGGACACTTATCAGCATTTGTGTCATCACTACCGGCTGTAGAATGAGGCGATGATAGTTTTCCATAAAACGTGAAGCGTTTCATTGTGGGATTGATAGCAGAAAGCAGTGTACGTGACGTATACACTGCCTCTTACGTTCCACTGTGGTATTGTGCAGTATATTAGTGGATAGATTTACACACTCAGCACTAGGACACCACTTCAACATGGCAAACACACTGTAGTGAGTAGGGGGTGATTTCAGACACATCCCCGACTTGTCTCTGTTCTTTCTCTCTCTTTGTCGGTCTCTGTCAGTCAGGATGAGGTTTGTCATGTATCCCTGATG